ACACACAGACCCCGAGTGGAGGCGGCTGCACCCCACACCCCGTCCAGCCGGTGACCCGCGTCTTTGCTGCTGTTCAGGGGAGACTCTTCCAGAGAACTGACGGAGCCCCAGCCCCTCATCCTCTCCCCTCTCCCTGCGGGACCCTCGCCGGGCCGCAGCCCCACCTCCTCCAGGCCGGCTCAGCGCCCCCAGCCCTCGCCCTGTGCAGCCGCACACCTGCGGGGTCCTTCCCCTTGAAGCACGGTCTGTGCTTGGCCACCAAGACCCCCCGCCCACCCCACCCTACCCCCCCCCACCCTGACCTGCGTCTTCCTGGCACTGTGCAGGGGCCCTGGGCCTGCCCCCCACCCCCCAGGCGCCTGCCCACGGTACTCAAGTTCCCTTCTCCAGCCACGCATCCCGGGCTCACACAGCCGCCCGTCCGCCGGCCTGCCCAGCTCTATCTCAGGGCTGCCCACGGCCAAGAGCCACAGACGGACCTGAGTCTGCCCAGCCGGGCCGGCACCCCTACGCCAGGCAGGGGGCAGAAAGGACCAGGCCTGGGCCCTGCCCACTCTCAGCCCACCCCCGACACACCTCACTGCCCCCAGGAAGCACCCCGAGCCCTCTGCGGGGTCCCCTCTGAAAGGACAGCCTTACTAATGAACTAGCGAACGGGGAAGCCAAACTACCAAACAAAGTAAGAGGAATAAACCCGCCGCACAGCTGCTCTCTGCTTTGTTTGGTGAAACACGCGGGACTCACTCGTTGTCTTCAAGATCAACACCTGCGTGTCTCTGAGACAGGACGGCAGGGCCGCGAGCCCCCAGCTGCGAGCCCCCAGCCCCAGCTCTCGCCAGACCATGTTTCGAGGACCCCGAGGAGTGGCCTGGGCCTCGCAGAGAAGCAGCAACAACAAGCAGACACGGCAGCTCCACCTTGCAGCCCCTGCGCTGCCCGCGGCAGCAACCATCTCTTTCTTCCCCTTTGCTCCCGACAAAACGCCAACCCTCTGTGCCCACGCCCTGCCCCTCTCACCCTTTGAGAAGTAAAATAGACTTTTTCTTGAGAACTATTCTAATCTTTGTGTGGAGAAATCCTTCTCCACCAGCTTAGGGATTCGCACCCCAACCCCTCCCTGGGGCGCTGGTCCTCCCCTCCTTCCTGCAGGTCCCTTCACCCTGCGGCAGCCGCCCGCCGCCGTGTCTCGGACCTTCCCGGCCACCTGCCCTGTCCTGTGCGTGTCCCTCCCCGGCCCCACCCAGCCCTGGGATGGACGCCCCGTGGACCAGGCCCAGCGGACGAGTGAAGGACCAGGCCAGCCAGGGAGGGACAGAGAAGTCAGGGTCTGGGGGACGCCTTGGCGCCCAGGACCCGAGGGCAGGGACGGCCCAGACCCAGGGCTCCCAGAGGAGGGGCTGGGGAGACAAAGGCGAGCTGGGCCACGCGGCCAGGGTGAGGTCGGCGTGAGGCTCCGTGGCTGCCAGCACGGCCACGTGCGAGGGCACGGGTGGACGGGGCTGTGGACGCGAGGGGAAGGGCAGCCACCAAGGTCCCATGAGATGAACAGGATCCAACCGCTTAAAAACACTCTCTGACCAAAGCTGGACGTCAGCAGGACACTGGGGACAGTCCCCAGGCGTCCACAGGGAGGTGCGGCTGCCAGAGACCCCAGGGTGCGGTCCTGACCTGGCCAGCGTGGCAGCCAGCCCGGCCCCACGTGATCAAGGCCCGAGAGGCGGGAGCTGCACGACAGGGCCATGCACAGAACGCACAGATGCGTTTGCGTCTCACGCGTCCTCGTTTTCCCTGCGACGTCCGACACACCCAAAGGACAGACACAACGTAAGGTCTGAATCACCATGAGACGCACGTCAGAGCAGGAACCGCGCGGACGCCTGTGCGTCCCCCACAGCCCCTCCCGCCCCGGGGCCGCGCAGTCCAGGCCACTGCCCGACTGGGGTTCGGTGTGCTTTCTCTCCAACGGCCTCATCGCGTGTCACGTTCTGAGACGCGCTTATTTCTTCCTGACGACTCTTTCTCGCTCCAGAGCCCAGGAGGACGAGGGTGTGCGGCGCTGCTGTCCCCAGCACGGTGGCACGCCCGCTCTCCCCGGCCGGACATTGTGGCTGTTTCCAGTCCCTGCTGTACGGACACGCTGCTTCGCACCCCTGCGCCCGGGCGCCTTCCAGCGTGGGGCCTAAACCCACCCGCCGCTGCGGAGCGGGGCCCTCACCAACTCAGCGTGCCACGGGGCCTCCTGCTCGTGGCCGCGTTTCCCCGGCGACACCTAAGCTGACCGTTTGGACCCTGCCCTCCTACTCTGCCTGCCTTTTTCATAGCGATGATGGGTAGTTCCCTGTACCTCTCAGTACGACTCCGTGTCGGTGACAAACGCTGCAAACACATTCTCCCACTCTGGCTTTTCACTTTTCAACTTCTTAAATTTAATTCATTCATTCATTCACTTTTTAAGACAGGGTCTTGCTCTGTTGCCCAGGCTGGAGTGCAGGGGTGTCATCACAGCTCGCTGCAGCCTCCAACTCCTGGGCTCATACGATCCTCTTTGCCTCAGCCTCCCAAGTAGAGAGGACTATGGGTGCCCACCACACCTGGCTATTTATTTTTGTGATTTTTATGTTTTGTAGAGACGGGGTGTTGCTATGTTGCTCAGACTGGTCTCCAACTCCTGGCCTCCCGTCTTGGCCTCCCAAAGTGTTGGGACCACAGGCGTGCGCCACCAGGCCTGGCTTTTTTCTTAATGGCATCTTTTAATAAATGGGAGTTTCTAGTTTTGATGGAGTCACATTTATCAAACTTTCCTTAAGAGCGAGCGCACTTTGGTCTCAGGAAGCCATCCCTAATGGAGCCTGGGGCCTCAGCTATTTCCTGGAAGGGTGGGTTTGCCTTCGTGTCTTCTCAGGGAACTGACTGCTGTCCCGGTGCAGACGCCGGCTTGCCCAGGGTACAGCCCACCGCAGCGCCCGCCGGCCAGGCCGTGCGCAGAGCCCCAGGCTGCCCCGTGCGTCGTGGGTGGTGGGCAGGGTCTCACCCTGGTGTCACGTCACACGGCAGAAGGGACTAAGGCTGCTGCTGACCTTAAGACAGGAAGGTTGTGGTGCGGGTTCCGGGGACAGTGGGATCCCACGGGCTTCTAAAGGTGGAGGAGGGAGGGGCGAGTGTCAGAGGGCCACCGTGAGGGCTCGGCCACCATGCCCACTCTGAGATGGAGGCCTGGGCACCTCTGCCAACAGCCTGAGCGAGCCTGGAGCGGCCCCCCCAGGGCCTGCTGCCCACACTGCCCCCAACCCGGCAGGACTGGCTCTCAACCTGCAGGACGCAAGGTCAGGAAGGGTGCCAGTCCAGGGCGAGTGTGCAGAACCGGCGGGAGCCGAGGGCCCAGCCCGCCGGACCCCTCCATCCCTGCGCAGACCAAGAGGCGCGCCGCACACACAGGCACGCGCTTGGGGTCGGGATTAGGGCTGCACTGAACCCACAGAGCAGTTTGAGACGTGTCAGCTCCGGAACACTGAGTCCGCGCTGGAGTCTCTGAACGTGAAGGCCCAAGGGCCAGGCCGAGCCGGGGTCGGCTGCGGTTTGTAAAAGCATTAAAAGGGAGCAGTCAATGCATCGTCTCCAGCACAAGGCGTGTCCTGTCTGGCGGTCAAGAGGACGGCTGACTCTGGGCGCGACGGCGCGCACCTGAGCTCTGGCACTTTGGAAGGCCACAGAGGATCGCTTGAGCCCAGTTCGAGCCCAGCTTGGGTGACAGAGTGACAGGAGACTCTGTCTAAAAAAAAAAAGAAAGAAAGAAGAAAAGACGGCTGAGGGCACAGCAGGGAGGCACCTTCAGCAGCCACAGTCCCACATGCCCAGGCCAGAGCTGGAGCAGCACAAGCCTCGCGGGCCTGGAGTGCGGAGGCCCCAGTGACTTGCTGGGGGCCGGCCCCGTGAGGCCCGGGGTTCGCCCGACAGGGAGGACTCGCAGGTCCCTGTCTGGTCCAGCTGGTGCTCCCCAGGCCCACCAGGTGGGACGGTTCCACCCCCAGGGACCAGAGCCCGGACCAGCAGACCGGAGCTGCTGCCCAATGTGTGAGCTGTTGCTCCGCCACGCACCCCAGGAAGGCGGGAAAAGCCCCCCAAGACGATGTTCCGGCAGAGGGGCCCAGGGTGCCCAGGGGCAGGACGTGGCCTCAGTCCTGAGCTGGCAGGAGGCCGGAGGGGCCCAACAGGCCCCATCACCTGCCTAGCGTCGGGTCAGGTTTGACAGCCGTGCCGAGGGGGCAGGGCTGCACCGAGGGGCTGTCTGTGCCCGCGGGTGGGGCGGGTGGCAGTGAGGCCCAGCCTCCTTCCGCCAGGCGGGGGCACGTCCCCTGGACACAGATGCCTCTTTGTCAGGGCCGAGCTGGGCTCGCCGAGCAGCCGCTGGAACAAGGCCCCTCTGTCCAGGCTGTGGCCTCCGCTCACACGTGGGGCGCCAGGAGAGAGCGGAGCTCCCCCGGGCTCCCATCGGCAGCTTTCCACGCACACGCGCCAGGCGCACCCACGGCCCGGGGCAGGAGGGAGGCTGCGCTCGCAGCCGGGGGCTGGGGCGCAAACGAGGCCTGGGATGGAGGCGCACAGGGGGCCGTCCAGCGTCCTCTGACACTCACCTTGCCCGGCCCCCACCACCCGCCCCGGGGTCTCCTCCCAGCTCGGCAAAACCCGACAGGGTGGCACAGGGAAGGCACATGGCCCCCGCAGGAGGCCCCTGCAATTCACCTGAGTCCCCCCAGACTTGAGTGCACACGGCCACCAGACCCGTAATGACCTCCTCGGGGGACCAGCCCAGCCCACCCCAGTACTGCTGCCCCGGGGCCTGGGCTCTGGCCACAGTAAGAACAACCCCAGCCCGGGGGCAAGCACGTGGCCTGGGGCTTTGAGTCTGCCCTGTCCCTGAGGCCACTGGGCCCCAGAATCTGTTCCTCCAGGACCAGCCAGGCCAGGCCAGGTCCCCACAGGGAGGGTGTCCCTGCCGGTCCTCAGCATCTGGGCGGCAGGATCCAGATGAGGCCGGGGAGCGCTCCTGCTAGCCTGGCCAGCTCCTGCCGACATTGTCCCTGCAGTCGACGCAGCGCCGCCTCCAGGCAGGCCTCCTGACTCCTCAGTGCCTGGATCACCTCGGCTGCCCGCAGGTGCTGGCCCCCGGGTGCCTCATCCTCACATCTCACCAGTCGGTGGGGCCCATGGGGCCGGGCTGGGCCCCTGTCTTGCTCCCAGGCCCACCGCAGGGCCGCCAGCTCCTGCTCCACAGCCTTCTGCAAGGCCTGCCGAGCAGAGCTCCACTGTGGCCCCCGGCCCTGGCCTCCCACCTGCACAGAGACAACAGAAAACAGGGCAGCTTGTAAACCAAGGGCAGCCCCGTCCCCCGGGATGCTGCCTCAGCCCCCTAAGCACTCCCTGGGCCCAGACAGAGGCCCCTGGGGACTGATCCCCAGGAAGAGTGGGCCGGACCCCCGTCCTGGGCTCTGCGTCAGCCTCGCTGAGCACCTGACTCCTAAGCCAGGGGCAGCTGGGCAGCCTGCCTCCCGGACACCCTGCAGGGCCAGGTCCCCAGCCTCCACCCCCTCGAGGACACCCACTCCAGCCCCCCGCCCCTCCAGGGCTCGGCCCATTCCCCACCACCCACCACTCACTGCCGAACCTGCTTCCCCTTCCCACTGCCCGCCAGGAGCAGGGAGCACAGGGTGGGGCTGGCCGAGGCCAAGGGAGCTGCCTGCCACTGCTGCCTCTGGCCCTCAGGGCAGTCCCGTCCCAGAGACCCTGCGGGCAGCTGGCCTGCTAGGGGGGTCTCCAAGGCCCCAGCCCCCACCACCGGAGCACAGAGCGGCTGCGCCCAGGCTGACCCTGGGGAAGCACCCAGAGCCCCTGGGGTCCTGCCGAGTGGGCTGCGCTCTCACGGCCCCCAGACAGAGGCGGCAGGACCCTGAGCCAGACGGTGCGAGGAGGCTCCGCCCCCGGCACAGCATCCCCTCCCTGCTGGGGAGGGCGGGGTGCCCCAGCTTGGGCTGCAGACAGTGGGGACACAGGGGACACCTGCTGGGGAGGGGCCGCAGTTATCTCCAGGGTCAGGGTGACGTGCCGCAGGCAGGGAGGAAACACCCTTGCTCCTTGGAGAGGGGAGATCGTTTCTGCGATCTGCGTTGAAATGCCGCAGAAAAAGACAACAGACGCGGGGGGTGTGGCCCTGTGTTCACAGCCACGGCCCCGCCAGGTGACAGAGGGCATGGGCGTTTGGGGCTGGGGACCCACGTGCCCTCCCGCAGTCCCCGGGCACGGTGTGGAGGGTGGCCGCCAGGGCCAGGTGACGTGCGGCCGAGGCGCGGAGCAGGCGCGGACACTGGTGGCCTCCCTCGTTGCCGAAGGAGGCCTGGGAGACCAACAGACCTTCGACAGGGTGGTCTGGGGACATCGAGTGGCTGCTGCGGGGGCAGCGGGGACACTGTGCCGCCATGCGCCTCCCCTCACTGTGTTCCTGGCGTTCAGCCCCCCCCCGAGGGGCCGCGGGCGGTGCTCTGGGGCTCACCCTGGCCTCCCAGGCCGCCCGCCTGCGCCCCGTGGCCTCGCACAGCTCCTCCTGCAGCGCCCGCAGCTCCCGCGCTGCCAGCTCCAACCGGCCAAGGCCACGCTCAGCGATCCTCGGCAGAAAGGTGGGCTGCGTGGCAGCAGCTGGGGCCTCTGGGGGGCAGGCTCCCAGGACCGTGTCCTGCAGAGAGAGGCCCAAGTGAGAGGGCGTCGCCCAGTGCAGGGACAGAGCGCAGAGGCCCAGGGCAGTGGCGGCCCCCCGAGGCCCCCCAGGGGCTGGAGAGCTACCGTTCCCCAGCAGGTGAAACACGCAGGGAGACACAAAGACCCCACTCTAAAAGGCTGCAGACCCCCGACAAGTCTAGGCCAGAGCAGGGCCAGCAACAGTGGGCCGCCCCACAACACAGCAGACGTCCTGGAAGGAGCCCCAGACTCGGAGCCGCCAGGCCTGGGAGCAAATCTGGCTCCACCGCGGTGGGGGGTGGCATCCTGTTCCCATCTGGGGAATGGAAAGACCCCAGCACGCCACAGGGCTGCTGTGGTCCGAGAGAAGGGGAGCAGGGCGGAGGGCAACGGCTTCCTTACCATCCACCGCCAGAAGACCAGCTCGCCGCGCCGCCACTCCAGAGCGGCCTCCAGGCCCGTGTTCTCACGCTCCAGCCTCCGCAGCAGCTGGAAGGCAAAGCACCCAAGGGCACAGGAGGTGCAGAGAGAAGGCTGCATCTCCAACAGTGACCCAGGAGGGTGCGCAGACACCCAGCCGCATGCCTGGCTGCTCACGCACCAGCCGCACATCATTCCAGAAGCTTCTGGGACCTGGCCCGAGTGCAGGCTCTTTGGGTAGGCCAGGTCCAGGCTTTGGCCAACTCCCCCTCCACAGCCCTGGAAGGAAGCCGACCTATGGCCCCAGGCCACCACCGTCCCCAGTCCTGGGGCACCAACACATGCCAGCCTCCAGGGCACTGGGGGCCTCGCCACGCCAGGCCCCCACATCAGAGGTGGCCCCACAGAGGGTCCCAAGCAGGACCAGGCTGGAGCCAGGGCAGCCTCTGCTCTGTCCAACCCAGGGGCTGGGACCCTGGGCCTCGCTGAGTCACCTCTACAACAGGGACAAGGGCAGGTGGGGACGCCCAAATGCCACCTCAGCACCTCCAAGGCCAAGCACAGGCCCTGCTGGGCTGGGGCCAGGCAGGCTGAAGCCAGGGATGCAGGCCCAGCTGGCACCAGGGCCAGGCAGGTCACAGTGGACACCAGGAGCCCACAGGAGCACAAACCCCCAGGGGCTCGAGGCTCCAGAGCTGTAGTCGCTGCCAGACTGGCCGTGGCAGCAAGCCCCAGCGATGACAGAGACAGTGGGGACCAGGAGCCAGGCCATCTGCCTCTGACCCCTGGGCCCCTGGTCCCACCTGCCCTGGCACAAGGTGGAAGGGCCAAGTCTTTGGGGCCAGGGAGGGAAGAGGCAGAGAGGGGGCTGGGCCTGGGAGGAGGGGTCCCACCAGCCCTGGGCCGCAGCCCTCCCACCCAGCCAGACGTGCCATGGCTGGGCAGTGCCAGCTACTACTCAGGACAGTCCAGAGCCTGCAGGTGACAGCCAGCCCTGCCCCTGTCCCTTGGGCCACAGCCAGCCAAGAGGAAGGAGCCAGTGATGATGGTGGCAGGTCCCCGAAAAGAAGGATGGGAGTGGAAGGTCAGCAGAGACAGGTGGGGGACAGCAGAGCTGGGAGGAAGCAGACGGCCCTGGGGAAGGCGCCTGGGCCGGCCCGACTCTAACTCTTCCGGTCAGTGCCCAGCAGCCCCGGGTGGGCCCCACGTGGGCCCAGGCTCGAGGGGCAGCTGTCCCCTCCTGTAGCCAGCCCAGCATGAGCTGTGTGCTAGGCCAGCCCTCCCCACCCCCAGGGACCCCCACCACACTGGACGACACCTAGGTAGGCTCGAGGCACCAACACCATCAGTTCAGACCTAGATCGGTGTTCCTTAATTCCAGCGGTCCCCGCCTCAGCCAGCTGCCAGCCTGGCCCCAAGACCTGTGCCCCTTGGACCCTGCCCGTGCCCAGCCACTGAGGACACCCACACACAGCAGCGATTCTGGAATCCTGGAGGGGTGGACGGTCCATGGGGCCAGGAGAGGCCCAGAGGACACACCTGTCACACCCCCAACCCCCAACAATGACGGTGAGCTCAGCAGACACCCAGAGACACCCACAGCTCAAAGCCGGTCAACCGCCCCAGGTCCTCCCCGACAGGCCCCTCCCCACCAGGCGTGGCGCCCACCCCAGCACCTCACCTGCTGGCCGCCCTCTGGGTCCCTGAGCATCTCTGTTTCAGCAACAGACAGATGGCCCAGACGCTGGTCACTATGGCAGCCACGGGTATACAAGTGGATCTGAAACAGGCAGCGCAGACCCTAGGCTGACTGGGGACAGGCACCTCCGCTAGCCGTGGCCTCCACCAGTCCGGTGAGGTCGACCTTTGCCCGCCTTACAGACAAGGAAAGAGCTGGAAGAGGCTGTGGGTCAGGGGGGCTCAGGGAATCCCTGCGGAGGGAAGGGCACCAGGCTGTCTCACCAAGGCCTCCCCAGTTCACCCAACTTCCCAGGCAGCAAGAGAACTGGAGCGGGCACCCGGCCCACCCTCCCTGCCTGCCCCGTGCCAAGCTCCCCAAGTGCAGTCCTGGCCTCAACGGCCCAAGTGGCAGGAGGAACGGCCTCTGGACAGGCACAGCGGTCCAGCGAGGCCAGCAGTGGGGACACAGTGACTTTCTCAGTCAAGGGGGGCAGGGAGGCCTCTACAGAGAGGTGAGGCTGGAGGGCAGCACGCAGGTTCACAGGTGGGCGTGCCCGTGCAGGGAAGTGGCTAGAGCCAAGGCTGGGCAAGATGGCGTGAGTGGCCCCAGGAAAGACTGGCTAAGTGACACACCTTCTGCAAGGGGGTGGGGGGCGGGGGTGCAGCACCAAGGAGCCCTGCACTTGCTGCGGCCACCACCCAGCACCTGGCAACCCTGACCTCACACTGAGCACACACCGGGCACCTGTGACCCTGCAGCTGACCCCTGCTGGCTTTCAGAGGCCCCTGGAGGAGCTGCCCACCACCCAAATCCACCCACACCCAGGACAGTGGGAGGAGGGGTGCCCAGAAGGCAGCAGCTCTGCCATGCCACAGACCTCATCCCACTGCTTGGTGATACGATCTCAGCCCTCTCATCACTTCAGGGAATGAGAAGGACAACCTGTGAGCTCTCTGACACCCAGCTTCTGCCCTGCCAGTGGGGCCAAGATGCTGCCACCCACTGGCTCCCTGCCCGAGCACTGTTCACCTCCATCCTGCCCTGGGCCCCCACCTGGACCACCAGGAGCTGCGGGCACAGGCTCCAGGCTACCCAGGGCAGCACCCAGGCCCCACCGGCCCCAGCCAGGCCTGGGAAGGCTCACATCCAGCCAACAGCCTGGGACCCAGGCCGTGCCAGGCCCAGCAGACAGGCTGCAGGGAAGGGCAGCTGGCAGCCTGTGGCTCGAGATAACGGGCCCTGGGTGGAAAGCCACACGCTGGCCCTACCTTGCTCAGGAGGGTGCACTGCTCCTGCTGACTGGCGATCAGGCATCGCCACCGAAACCGCAGCCTTCCCATCAGCCACTGCACACAGCGGATGTCCACAGGGCCCTCTGCTTCCACGTGGGGTACCCGGGGACCAGGGCTGGCCAGGGCCTCACACTGGAGAGGGGCTGAGGGTCAGGCCCTGCTCCCACACCCCACCCTGCCCTGGAGGGGCGGGGGCAGAGGGCAGTGGAGGCACGCTCCATGTCCTCAGCTGGGAAGCAGGTAACCCCCTCACGAGACTATCCTGAGAGCTGGGCCCCACCCACCTCGCACACAGGTATCTCGTCACCCAGCTGCACGTGGGCCTGGGCCAGCAGCTGCTCAGGCAGAGGTCCTCGAGCCAGGAGCCAGGACAGGGCCAGCAGCAGCTCCCGGCTGCCCCGGGAGCCATCCTCAGGGAGTTGTGCCAGCACCAGCCTTGGGTAGCCCTGGGAGCGCAGCGCTGACTTCACCAAGCAGACCTGGGCCTCTAGGGTAGAAGATCACCAGTCAGGGGGCCACCCACCTGGAGGTGATATCACCTGGACCCCTTCAGAGACCTCCCAGGACCCCCAGAGGCCCAGCTCAGAGGGGACGATGGGGGTGGCGGTCTGGGTCTCAGATCCGGTAGAGGCCAGAGGCCAGCCGGGGGCAGGGCTTATGTGGCTGGGCGGGCCAGGGCCTAACCAGTAGCGGAGTTTTTTCCAGGAGGGGCGGAGCCAGTACTGCCTGGGTGGGTGGGGCCAGAGCCTTATGGGGCGGGGCTTACTGTGGAGGGCTTCCCAGAGCAGTACATTGCAGGCATGGGCGGGCCAGAGCCCACGAGGGGCAGGGCTTGCCAGGTAGATTGGGGCTTGCAGGGGCGGGGCTTTTACGGAAGTGGGCGGAGCCAGTGCCCCGAGGGGCGGGGCTAGAGGCGGCCTGGGGAGGGGCTTACCGAGGGCGAGCGAGGCCGAAGCTCCGTCTGCGGACCGCGGCGAAAGCAAGCGGAAAAGGAGCTGCCAGAGCGCAGGAGCCTGCGGAAAATTTAAAGCGGGCGGTCAGCCCCGCCAGCCCGCCTTCCCGCGTCCGCCCCGGGCCCCACCGCGCGAGCCTCACCGCCTCTGGACGGTCGAACTTGGCGCGGCGGAAGATCTCAGGGCTCGGCCCGGCAGGCAGAGACCGACTCAGCGCGGCGATGACCTTGGGCAGGGCCCCGGCCCCGGCCTCGGCCGCCGGGTCCACCAGCCGCCGCCGCCTGCCCATCCAGCCGGCAACAGCCTCCCTCGGACCGCGCGCTGCCGCCGGCCGGGCCCAGCGACCAATCACGGCGCTGGCCGGGCCAAGAGACCAATCATGGCGCCGGCCGGACCCAGCGACCAATCACCTCGCCGCATGGCCCCAGCCCAATGAGCGATGCCCCTGGAGCTTGAGTACAGTCTGCTCTGTCCTGTGAAGAGGCACTTCCGGGCGTCAGGCGGGACCTTCGGTGTTGACAGTTCCGCGGAGTCCGCCCTCTCCGGTCCAATCATCGCAACACCTGACACCCCGCCTCGCCCAGACCCCACCAATCAGCGCCTCACGCCACTGGCAACCTAGCAACCGTCGGGCGGGCACTGCAGGTGCGCATGCGCCTAGGGGCGCCCCCGTCGCGGAGGGCGGTGCCGCAGGGCCCCAACCACCCGAGCGGGCGACCTCGGCCCCTCCGCGTGGCCTCCCTGTAAGGGCCGCCAGGGGGCGCCTGGACCCCGCCGCACCCCGACCGCTCCGGCCGTGCACGCGCGGTTGCGGCCTCCGGCCCTGAAAGCTGGCGCTGAAGAGGCGCCGCGGCCGCACTTCCATGGAGCGGCGAGACGGCAGACGACGGGCGGGCACGAGGCTCTGGAGCCACGCGGGGCCGCGGCCGCGCACGCCCGGGATCCTCGACGCCACCGGGGCAGCCGCAGCGGACTTCGCCGCGGCGAGTTCCAGCCCACGCGCTGCAGACGTCACGGAGGGGCGGGCGGGGACGCGGAGGAGGGCGAGAAACCGCGATGGGACGGCGAGGACCCGGCCTGGGCCGCGCCCGCCAGAGCCCGCACGCCCGTCTCGGCACCGCCCAGGCCCACTGACCTCCTTGGCGCACTCCTGCCCCCCATCAGCGCGGGCTGGGACCCCCACCGGCTTCCCCTCTCCACAAAGTAGCCCAGAGGTCTCTCTGGCTGCCCTGCCAGGACACCCTGCCCAGGCCCTGCAGCCCTCAGGATAAAGACCACATTCCTCACCCTGCCCACGCTGGTTCCCAATCCCTGGGGTCCCCTGAACCCAGGGAGCCCTTCTCCTCTGAGGGCCTTTGCAGCTTCGGTACCTTCTGCCTGGGGCGTCCCCCACCCCCCCAGGCCCAGCTGCCCGCCACTCTTCCTGCAGGCCTCTGCTCCAGGTCTGTGCCCAGCCTGGACTGTGAGCCACTCGGGGGCGGGGGCCACGAGGACAAGGCTGGGGGGCACCTCTGCTGCCTAGCTCAGCGCTGCCCCTCCCGGGGCTCAAGGTGGACCAGGCGTCGCTGAGTCCCAAAGCCCTCAGTCCTCCCAGCCCCACAGGTCACAGGTCTCACTGCAGCATCCACTGCTCTGTCCTCCCCCACCCCATCCCACCCATCAGGAAAATCCCTGTCTCCCACCTCTTGGAATTTCAGGAATCACCCAATCACACACACACCCCACCCTACAGGCCACCCTTGACAATCTGCCTGGCTCATGCCTGCAGCACCCCACCAAAGCCCTAAGGCAGGGCCACCAGGGCCCCTCTGGGCTCTTGAGGTCCGTAGGGTCCTGGGAGGGGTGGCCTTCACCTGTGAGGTGGCCCGTGTTGGGGAGCAGGGCCTAGGGTGAAAGGCAAACAAGGACATCAGGTGGCGTCTTCTGGGTCGGGCTGAGCAGCCACCAAGGCCTGCAGAAACCAGAACCACCCCGGGTGGAGCAGCAGGAAGTGGGAAGGGAGAAGGCATGGACTCCCCACAACCCCAGAAAGCTGCTCTGCTCAGAAACGGAACCAGCAGCAGCTGCAGCTGATTCACCCTTCCCCCAGCCCCACCTGCTCCCAGGCCTCAAGGTCCCGCTGACCCTTTGGCCCCGGCCTGCAAAACTTCCCCTCATACCATCCCAGAACCACCAGGAGGGCTCAGGGGCATCTCTGTAGGCCTGGGAGGCGCAGAGGTGAGCTCAGAGCGCTAGGGATGGCACCAGATGTCCAGGGTGGAGCCCAGCAGTTGGGACTCTGGCCTGTGAGGTACCCAGAAAGGCCCCCCAGGGGGGCAGTGGCAGCAGTGCCTGCCAAAGAAGGAAGAGCAGGCGCCTGGCAGGGCCTGGGCCAGAACCAACCCCCACCCCCAAACTGCAGCCCCCCTCAGGTACGCCCCGGCACACACGTGTGCACACCACACACACACATACAGGCACGCCTCTTCCACGTGTTCAAGTTTATTGAAGGCACGAGGGATACAAGGGGGCCCTGGGCATCTGGGGCGAGGCCTGGCATCTGCCTGAACAGTGGCCCAGCAGGTGGGGACAGGGTCTCCACAACCTGTGCACAGAGAGACAGACGTGAGTGCAGCAGCCACCTGCTCCTCTGCCCAAGGAGCAGTCAGACCTCTCTGTGGGTGGGGGCGGATCAGCTGGGCAGGACTGGGGAGTTATACCTGGGTTTACTTGAAAGTGTGACTCTCAGCTCCACCCCGCCCAAAGCCTGCAGAGAAAGAAAGAAAACAGTCAACAGGTGGGGGGGGCCGGGGGGGTGGGGAGGGTCCCGGGGAGCATACCTTTGGGCCCGAACATGGCAGAGTAGCAAGGGTGGTTGCAATAGGGCTTGCCTTCATGCTGCAGAGAGAAAAGGCGTGAGGCGTGTGACCAGCCCCGTAACCCTGCCACACTCCCCGGGCCCCCACTCACCTCAGCGTGACCCCCAGAGGTGAGCGTCTTCCCACATTTCTCACACTTCAGGCAGGGGCGATGCCAGTCCTTGCCCAGAGAGGTGACCCGCTCAGCTGCAGAGGTACAGACGGGGTCCCCATGAGACACTGCCCTGGGGACACAGGGCACGCCCACCGCTGGCACACCCCTCCTCCGGCCACACCCTAAGCTCTCAGCCTGTCCCTGTGCTCCGTGGGGTGAGGGGGCACCTCCAGGCCCCTCAGGCCAACCCAGCCGAATAAACGACAGGGGTCGCTGGCCCTTGGGGTACTTCCCGGCGCAGTCCCTGGGCCTTGGCCCTGAGGGCTGAGTGGGGCCTCCAGGGCCAGAGGTGGGGGGAGCGGATCAGGGAACCTGGGGCCAGGCGGTGGAGCCTTATGGCCTCTGCCCTAGTGCCTGGGGTGGAGCCCACGGGCGCCCTCGTCGCGGCCCGGGGCGGGAGGGTCCTTCCCCCTGCTCCCTCCCATGGGTGGGACCCCGGGCGCGCGCGGGCCAGGAGGCGGGCGCCCGGGATCGCGCCGCGGGCGTCGGTTTCCGCGTCTGTTTCCACTTAGCGTTGGGAGGGGCGGCCCCAGCTCCGCGTTCCTTCCTGCCCCGCGGGGTGCCAGCCCAGGGCGCGCCCGAGGGGAGGCACGAGAGACAGCGGGGCCCGGAAGCGGGAAGTCCCGGACGGGGCACGCAGAGACGGGGAGTTCGGGGACAGACAGCGGAACACGGAGAATTGGCAGGATAGCGGGACGCCCCCACGCAGCGGTCTCCGCTCACACCCCGGCACCCGCGGGCGAGGCTGCAGTTCTGTTCCACGCGGCGCGCAGGGGTCCCCCGGCGCCCGGGGTCCACCTGAGCGGCCCCAGCCCGGTCGCGCTCCCGCGAGGGCGGCGCAGTGCGCCCGGGGCGCCGGCAGGGCGTGGGCCGGACGTGGGCGCGCTCACCGAAGTACACCTCCTTGTTGCACTTGGGGCACTTGGGCATGGCGGCGCGGGTCCGGGGCTGCGGCTGCGGCTGCGGCTGGGCAGGAGAGGCTGTTGGCGCGAGACTGGGTGGGTCCGGCCGCGTTGGAGTCTTTCAGGGACCCCGGGACCCCGCCCCTTTGGGACCCGCCCCACGCCCCGCCCCCGGAATCCGGGACTTGGACCCCGAGGGCATCAGATCGGGCCAACCCCCCGAGAAAGGTCATCCGGTCCACCTCTGCCTTGAGGCGGGGCCCGGGCCCAGGCCTGGCTGAGGACAGCAGAGGGAGGCCACGGGGCGCCGGGCATTCGCGGGACGCTCTAGGGCGCGAGGCTCCTGCGGCGAGCTCGAGCCCTGCCCCTCTCCTAGGGCTCTGAAGCCTGCGGGGTCCGGCCGGGGCGAGGGCTCCCCGGGAGCAGGAAGGGGCGCTGCATCCCCAGCCCCATCCCGTGGGCACCTGCCCGAGCCCCTAGATCTGCTGGAACAGACCCCGGGGACAGGCCGGAACTCCTCTAAAATGCAAATAGATGCAAATTAGCATGCGCACACACTTGGACCCTCCCCTCCCCAAGATAGAGGGTTGGGGACACTTGCCTGGTAGTCCCCCTCCCGAGGAACCCCACTGCGGCCTTCCAGCCCCCGCGTGGCCGGGAGGCCCGCCCTCCCCAGCCCTCTCACTACCGTGGGACGTCCCCCCACTCCCGCCGCTCCCTGGAAAGTCCATCGGACCGCAGCGGGAACGTCCCCGGGGAATTCGGAAGAGGCGCCTGCAAGCCAGGGGAACCTAAGGTTGGGGACCGATCGGCTGAGGGGCGAGGGCGAGGGCGGGGTGCGGCCACGCCCAGGCCATCTCCGACCTGCCTCGCCCGCCCGGGGAGGGGTCCTTATCTCGTGGGGGGAGCGTCTTGGGAGCCGTCCGAGTCCGCCGCCGCCCAGGTGAGGTGGAGGCTGGCCCCGGGCCTTCCCGGTGCCAGGCGGAGACGGTCGACCCCTCTCCGCCAGGAGATCTGGAGGGCTGCCCAGTGGCCCCTTGACCCGCCGCAGCCTGGAGTTCCCTGTGGTTTCTGGGGTTGGGGCCACCAGTCCACCCCTCTCCCTTAGCCAGACCCTGCCCTCCCTCCTGTGCCCCTGGTCCTTCAGCCCCGACAGCCCTCCCTCCCTGTCTCTGCAGGCCCTTGCTCCTGCCCCAGCCCCTGCGCCCAGCCCTCTCCCTGTCCCAGCTCCCGGCCTCCCTGTTCACCCTCCCTCCCTCCAGCTACCCTGCGACCAGCGTCCTCATCTCCCCTAGACACACCCATCTGAAAAAACAAAACGTCATCTCTGGGCCTGTCCAGTTTTCATCCCGGTGGAGGGTGCTGGACACCCTCCTCGCGGCGGTGGCCACAGGAGCCCCCAGCCCCCAGCCCCAGCAGGCATGCAGCCCTCACTGCACCTGTGACCCCAACCTCACCTTCCCTGAAGCCCAGCTCCGGGCTGGCAGCCCCCAGAGGCCTGGCACAGAGAGGAGGAAGGAAGCCACGGGGTCCCTCCAGCTCAAGACCCCGCCCCAGCCTCCTGTCTGGACCAGGCCCCGGCTGGGGGTGAAGGGGGGAGCTCCAGGCGTGGAGGGTGACTGAGGCACTTGTGTCTGGCACAGAGGCCACATGTCCAGCCCAAGGCCACACACACCCTGCACCCCCACCTCTCTCCAGGCACCGCCTTCCTCCCCAGGACTCCTTCCTTGAGGCCCTGGCTCTACCCCACTGGGGCTCTGCAAGTCCTGGGTCTGTGAAGACATTCCACAGGGTCCCCCTGGAGCCTTTCCCCCCAGTTCTGAATCCCCTCAGCGGTGGGGCTTCCACAGCAGGGGCGCACTCCAGCCCTGCATCCTTGGACCCCTGGTTTCCAGCCTGGTAAGCCTTGAAACCCACTCTCAGGTCCAGGCCCGCCTGTCCTCCCTGCTGGGCACAGGGGCTCCCCTGTGTGGTTTCTGGAGTTGGGGCCACCAGTCCACCCCTCTCCCTAAATTAAAATCTAGGAGTCTCTACTCCTTGGCCTGGGCCAGACTGGCGGGGAACAGGAAGGCGGGTCCTGACTTCCCTCATCCCTGGCCCTGGGGACCTGCCTCTCCTCTGCCCCTGGCAGAGTCTGTGTCTCTGGGTGGGGGGGGCGCACCCTGTCTCCCCCTGTCTCCCCCGTCTCCCCCTCTGGCTCCTCCCGCTGCTCTCCAGAGCACAGGGCAGACGTGAGCAGAGGTGAGCAGAGCGGGGACGAGGTGCCAGGCCCCAGGCCGGGAAGGGGGAGGGCGAAGTGCCCAGCAAAGATGCTGTTGACCCACAAGGAGAGCTGGGGGTGGGGTGGTCTCTGTCGCTGCAGGTTCCGGGACCACATGTGCAGCACACACCACCTTGCTGTTCGCTGAGATGGGACAGCCGCCTGCCTGGGGTGCGTGCGCGCAGAGGCTGCGGGGCACCCCGCACAGCAGGGCGGTGCCCCAGGGTGCAAGGGCTGTACCCACAGGCATACCTGGGTGGGTGCGCCCATGGGGCAATGACCCAGTCCCAGCCCTGCCCTCCACCCGCCACCCCAGGGACGCCCTCCCCCACACTCTGGACTCCAACCCGCCCTGCCCAGCGGGGAGCCCCCCCTTGAAAACCAGAGTGATGAGTCCCTTCCTGGCCTTCCCCGCTGTTATTTCCTGTTGCCATGGTCACGGGGAGGGGTGCGGGGAGGATGCCTTAGACATGGGGCTGCTCCGTCCGTGTTGGTATACACGACTTTTCCAGAAACTCAACGCAGATGCACACACGCAGACACACTCATGGACACACAGACATAAGGACACATGTGCAAGACACACACACACACACACACACACAAAATCACACACACACACACAAAACCCCTGGAACCCTCCCAAAACTTCAGCCGCAGACTGACGTGCCCCTCAAGCTCCCTGTCTCCTGCGCTCCCCACCCATCCTGCCTGTGGGGGCAGGGACCCCTCTTCAGCTCCTCCTCCACCCAGGCTGCAGTCTAGGCTGCCCCACCCGGCAACTCCCACCTGTCTGGGCTGGGCTGCGGACAGGTGGGGGAGACCCCCGTGCCCACCAGGTGCAAGGCCTCTGGCTTCCATCAGCTCCCCTGGCCCCTCTACCCCTCACCCCTCTGCCGGGGTGCTGGTGGCCTTTGCAGCATGAACAAACAGAGGACAGAGTGCGGGTCAGGACAGGACACTGAGCTCCCCAGCTGCTGCCCCAGGCTGCCTCTGTGCCCAGAACGTTCCGCCCTCTCCCAGACAGCATGAGGGCACCCTAGGGGCCTGCCACCCCTGCGCCCTCAGCCTGCCCTGTGTTGCCCAGGAGAGGTCTGGAGACACTGGCGCGCCATCCTGCGGCCAAGCGTGGACCCCAGGAGCCTGACTAACTCAAGAGGCAGGACAGGCCTTGCTGACCGCTGAGGAATCCCGCCACCCACCCTCACCAGGAAAGCTCTGCTCCTCCTGGGGGCGTCTAGGCAGCCCCAACCCCGGAGCCCTCTGGGCCTTCCGCAGCGTGCACGGCTGAGGGTGCAGACAGGTGTGAGCATGTCGCAGGCCAGCCGGGCCTGTCCCTTGCTCTCTGCACCCAGGTGCCCTGCACTGCCAACACACTCTCCAAGAAAGACGCGCTGGGCCCTGGCCATGCCCAGCTCAGGCCTTCCCAGCGTCCGCCCCTCCCGGCCCTCCCCTCTGCCCGGCTGAGTCACAACACTCACGACTCAGTTCCCAGGGTCTATTTTCAGAAGCCGGCCTCCTGAGACCCCCTGTCTGGCCTGAGGTCTGGCCCCAGGGCAGTCCTGAGGTGGGGGGGCTGGATACAGCCCCCCAGACAGGCTTGTCCCATCCTCTGGCCTCGCCCGTGCCCAGGTGGGAGGGCAGCCGGTAGCTCCAGTCTCCCGGAAGCAGCCCGGGCCTGGAGAGAAGGGCGAGTGGAGGGCCGGGCTCCTTCAGCCAACCCTGCCCCCAACAGGGTTCACCCCTGACTGGGGTCCCTGGTCTGGCTGGATAGGGTGCCCCTGCCCTCCCTCCCCTCCCTTGAGGCTGGACCCTGACCCCACGCCATCCAGGCCCTGGGAAAAAGTGCCGCCCACCCCTGCCGTCCTGGGCTAGTCCTGGCCTGTGCCTGGCCCTCGACAGCCCAGATCGGGAGACACTGGCCAGAGAAGTGACCCAGGGCCAGGAGGGAGTCAGGCCCCCAAGTCCTATAGAGGCTCAGAGAGGCTAGCCAGAGGGGGTGGGGCCCGAAGGGGGACACCCAGGGCCGATGCTGGGGGTCGCTGGCCCAGGGGAGGCTGGGCAGGGCCCAGAGGAAGGGTGCTGGGGTTCTGGGGGTCTGGGGCATGGGTCAGAGGGTCTCAGACTCAGGGAAGTGGGGACACAGGGAGCTGCAGGCTGAGCCGGCCCCACAGAGATGCCTGGACAGGGACACGGCAAGGCCCCCCCAGCCCTGGTCAGAGGTGGGCGGTGGCCAAGGAGGGCCCTGGCCAGGAGGTGCAGGAAGACTGGGCAGCGGGCTGGGGGCAGGGAGCAGGGTGGGGTAGGAGCCCCCATTGAGCTCGGCTTGCAGAGCGGCCTGGGGTGCAAGCATGGCCGGCTGGGGCAGGGTCACAAGGGCCTGTGGGTCGCTGGACTGGGTTTCCAGAGGTTCTGAAGGGGGAGTGAGGTGGTCAGATGGCATTTCAGGGCCACCTCAGGGCTAGGCATGGGTCAGAGGGCAGGAGGGTGGAGGCTGAGGCCAGAGCCGCCTCCCGGGGAGAGATGGGGAAGGCCCAGGGCCAGGGACAAAGGTGCGACTCCTGCTTCACTCCATGCTGAGGGGCATCAGGACTGTGGGCACCAGAGGAGGCACCTGGCTCGAGGTGGAGGGGTAGCTTCCAGAGCTGGTGCCACCGAGGGTGTGCGGGCAGTGCCATGGCACCCGGCCACCCACACTGGCTCTGCCCAGCGGCAACGCTGACACAAACAGTAGTAGCAACCGCCCGGCTTCCATGACAACGCCTTGGAAACAAACACGGCAGGCAGCGCTTCATCCTCCAACGCCTGTCAGATGGGGCGGGCCCTACCCAGGCAGACCTGGGGCGGGGCCCCCACCAGGGCCAGGGACTGATCTCCCCTCTTGGAGACCCCTGCCGCCTCGTCCCCCTGCCTGCCCAGGTGGGGCCTTCTCACACACAAAAAGGCCTCCCCACCGCAGCCCACCCTCGCCTAGGTTTCGGGGAAGGGCACCCCGCCCACCACGCCTCCTCCAGACATAGTTTCCACTGGAGGCTCCCGAGGGAGGGGGCCCAGCTGTGCCCTCGCAGCCCCCACAGCGGAGAGCAGGAATTTCCCATGCGACCCTGGGAGCTTCGGCGAGGGCGGGATGCTGGGATGGGGGTTCCGGGGGGAGTGGAGAGGTCTGAGTTCTCACCAAACAACCCCCCACCAGGAAGCCTTGGCCTGGCAGGAGAGGGGGTGAGAAGGGACCCGTCCCAGCCCCTCCTCTGAGCAGAAGTCTCCTACCTGCCTGGACCTCCCTCTGCCTGGGGGGGAGTGGACACCCCCACCTGCCCCAGATCCCTGCCCCCACCTCAGGCCCTGCGCATTCTGGCCGCAGTCCAGGTGAGAGGAGACACGGCCGCCCACACTGGGTGCCTGGCTCCGCTGGCCAGGCAGAGGGCGGCTGTGGCATTGCTGGACACCGGAGCCAGCCCACCCCACTGGGACACAGATGGCTGCTCACGGGCCAATGTCCAAGCCCCTGGACTGACAGTGGGCTGGGAGGGGCTCGTGCCACGGGCTGGGGAGCTGGGAACAGGCTTGAGCTTCCGCCACCCCTCGCTCTAGGCAGGGCCGGGGCATCTGTGGTATGGTGCTGGGGACGGGGTCAGGTGTGAGCCCAAGGCTGGGGGTCCAGGCAGGGCCCAGGCAGAGGGGAACGCGGGAGTTTCTGCCCCAGTGCGCCAGAGTGGAGGAGCAGGCGCGCCCTCTGGTGGGCACCCCGGGAGAGCCGGACGTGGAGGGGGAGGGAGGGAGGGGCTCCCGGAGCCGCCAGGGGTCTGGTTCAAAGGGCCAAGCCTGGACCACTTGAGGGGGCCGGGGTGACTGTGTCCTCGCTGCACACCCCGTCACCAGAGCACTTGGGCAGGAAGGGACTCGAGCCCCCAGGCCCTCATCCTCATTCTATCCCGGGGCTCCCCACCCATGCCGAGGCCTGTCCCTCACCCTGAGGACAGAAGCCGGAAACAGCCGCGCTGAGCGTGTGCAGCCCGGCCAGGCCGCTCTGTCGCACTCCAAGCCCCTCCCGCACTGCCCAGCCCAGGCCACCGCTACCGACCCTCCTGGGCCCCACCCGCCTTCTGTCAGCTCCCTGTTTTCTGCACAGGACCCTCCTCTGGTCCCCTGTCCCCAGGCCCTCCTTGCTCTCAAGGCTGACCCCTCCCACTCCTCTTGGTCCTCCATGGACTCAGGCAGCTCTGGGCTCCACGCCTGCTGTTGGCATTTCCGGGAGGCCGGGTTCAGCCCCACAGGCACCACCCTCTCCCAGGGCGACCCTGGCATAACTCAGGGCTCCTGTCCTCAAAGGACACCACCCTGACCTGCCCCTGACGAGGACCCAAGCCCTAGATGCCCCTGTCCCCAGCTCCACCCAGTCCAGACCCCATCTAGGTGTGGGCACCACTGCCCACTCCAGGGACCAAGCTCCTCCCCTCTTGGTCCTTCCCCTCAGTGGAACCATGCCGAGACCCCTGCGCCCCACCATCACCCAGGCAGCAGGACCCACCCCAGCAGAAGCCAGGCTGGGGGCGTTGGATGGGTGTGTTTGTGGACCGGACATGGGGACCTTGTCCTAGAGTCGCGCCCACCCACAGCCAGAGACACTGCGCTGGTCCTGCAATCCTCAAACCTTTTATTGACAACGAAGCCTCAGCAAGGGAGTGAACCACGTGAGGGTGGCGCTGGGAGCCTGCAAGGCAGTGTGGGAGCCAGCAGAGGGCCCTGGGCAGGGACACCCTCCACCTGGAGGACGACGTGAGGGGCGTGGCCGACACCGGCAGGGCGGGCATAAATAACACTGGCGGGGAGGGCCTGGGGCAGCAGGAAAGGGAGAAGGGGGACACTCGGAGATCCACAGGGGACGGGGGACACGGACACGCAGGGACACGTGGAAATAATGGGAGACACATGGAGTGATGCTGGGACACGTGGGCACCCAGGGACCTGCAGAGGCGGCCAGACGGGGCAGACGCACCCACGCGCGGGGGCGCCTCGTGCCCTCGCCCGCCCCTCCTCCGCCGCC